AGTGCTGGTTCACAAAACTCAGTTTATTGCACCAAGCAATGATGGCATTTGTTTTCCAAAGATACAAACAATCCTTGGACTGAAGTTGTTAGGGAAAATATGCCAGCTTTTTTTGAAAAAGCCTCCTCAGCAATAGCAGATTTTACTCATCTTCCGTCTATTTTTTTTTTTTTTTTTGGAAATAACAGTCCTAACCTGTGTGTTACCTGGATGCCCGAATCGCATTCGTAGTGGAACGGAGCACATACAACAGATGGGATGTTTGACTCTTATTTACTTTGGATGCTTGCAAAGCACATTGCCTTCTACCTTTGCCTGTCGGTGTGTGCATGCAGATGCAGGCAGACCTTTGCAGGATGAGAGAAGGTGCTATGGAGAATTGTTAGATCTGACTTTTTAAAGAGACCCTCAAGTTACAAATGTAGGAGCAGGTCTTGCTCTCACCTGCAAGTGATTTCAGTGGGGACACAACTGAATCTCTACTGCTGGAAAGTGTGAAGCTTAAACAGACCAAATTCTGCCTTTAGGAATGCACCTTTTAAAGTGCAGAACAAAAATAGGGACCAATCCTGCATTTTATCTGACTAAAAAAAAAAAAGATTCAGTGTTTTCCTTATGCTCTGACTTGCTGGTTCCATTATTATTTTTGTGGGGGTGAGGGGACAGGTTTTGTTTTGATTTTGTTTATTTTAATTGAAAAAAGATGTGGGAGAAAACGGGGACCCAGCATTGGACTATAATCTAAATCTGCAGGAAAAAAAAACCAAAACCAAACAAACAAAAAAACCCCCACAGACCACTGGCTGAGCATGGGCCTTCAGGGAAGGTTTAGAATGTAAATGTTGAGAAAATCTCATTTTCTAAATTTGCTCCTGGAAACATCAGCAAGTGACAGCCACCAAAAATAAGGGGACACCAAATGTCTTGAAAACACAGCAAAATGGACATCACTTTTGCTTCTTTTCCAAGTCTTGGGAATGGGGCAGTGGATAATACATTATCCTCTTAAGCCTTCATTTCACTGCACCCTCAAAAATATCAGTGTCATGGAAAAGAAAATCAAGTGAATAAATGTTGCAATTTATATATATTTGAATAGATAACAAGAACAATTTTACTGTTTGCCATAAATGAAAAACCCCACCAAATCATTCCTCTGATTGAGGTTCTGAAGCTCTGTTTATGGCTGCAAAGTGATTTGATACAAAAAATTTACACATTTTGAGTTATTATATCACCCAGAAATTTGATGCCACTTAACTATGTAATTTTCAGAAATGATATAAAACCACTGCAGAAAAATATTCAGGGAAGCCCAAAAGACCTCTTTTTATCTTTTTTTATGGGTCTAAAATGAGAACTCGCAGAGATCCTTGCTCTGTATGTGAAGGCTGAACTGCCACCTCGGGAGCTTTATTAATATGTATGTAAATATGATCTGGTTAGATCCTGTGTTTCTGTGTCTTTTCACAAGGTGGAGTGGCTAACTAAGCCGATCAGATCAACGCCCTGTGGTTTTGGGGGTTTTTTTGGTTTGTTGTTTTTTTTTTTTCTTTTCTTCCCAAGAAGCAACATTTAAAGATTCAAAGGGAATGAAGACAGCAGCCTCATTTCTGTCAAGATTGTCTCAAACCCCCTTCCTTCCTTCCTTCCTTCCTTCCTTCCTTCTCTCTCTTCTCTCTCTTCTCCCTCTTCTCCCTCTTCTCCCTCTTCTCTCTCTTCTCAACTCCCAGATCTGTATCAAAAACAATTTACTTCTAACTTGGCATGCGCTTTCTCAGTAAAGACTAGGAAAAAACTAAAATCACATCACACAATTTGAGGCATCAATTTTTCTCTCACTGAAAAGTTATTTGAGCAAATGGGGAGAAAGTGGAAACGCATTCGAAATGTGTCCAAGTGACACATCAAGCTTATCCTCGGTGAAGATATTGGGACTTCCTCTTTACACTGAAGCCACTGTTATTTATGTATCTATATCCGTGCCAAATTTTAGCTAAAGACGTTGCACAATTTAAAAAAAAAAGAAAGAGAAACCCAGAAGCTGAACATGTGTGTGCAGAGAGTTCTTGACTCAGCATGCCTTGCTGTATATAGGATAAAATGGAATATTTAATATCATATTAGCTTGTTTTCCCCTATGATAAAGATGGTGTTTCTAGATGAGAACTCCTCAAATCCCTGGTATATTATAAAGACAGAAAAGATGATTACCTTAATACAAGTTATTTTGTGCATGAGAGTGCTTTTTTCCCCCCTAATTTAAGACAAGGGACAACAGCACCTTTAAAGCTAGCGAGAAGCTTGCTCTCTTCTTGCAGGCTATGCTCCCGTTTTGCCTGTTTTATTCTTTCTTTGGGGGATTTTTTTGTTGTTGGTGGTTTGTTTGTTTTGGTTGGGGCTTTGGGGGGTGTGGTGTGGTGTGAGGAGGTGTTGTGATGGGGAGCCGCGGCTCCAGGTTTGCAGGCCGGCGCTGGGCCGCAGCCCCCAGGGCGGCGGAGCGGGGGGCCGGGGGCTGGCAGCGCCGAAATGCGAGCTGTGAGCGGGCGGACGGGTGTGGGGAGGAAAAGGCAGATTTGCTGGAGGAGGCGAGAGCGATGCTGTTTAGCCAAATTCGACTCAAAGCTGATTTAAGGGCATCGAGATGAATTCTGCTAACTC